TTTTTGTGGAACCGGGGATTAAACTCAGGCCCTTGCGCATGCCAGGGAAGTGCTTATTCCACTGAGCCATCTCCCCGGCCTCATATTATTCTTATATAAAACAAAATGTTATAATTACTTGTTGATGGGGCTGGGGAGATGGCTCAGTAGAATAAGTGCTTGCTTGGCAAGTGCAAGGGCCTGAGTTCAATCCTTGGTTCCACAAAAAAAAAAATTCTTGTTGAGAATGTTCATTAATTGTTAAAATGAAAGTTTTTGTTATTCCAAGTATCAATTTATAAATAAAAATATTACTTTTCTGTATTAGTAAGGATTAAACCCAGGTACTTTGCACTGGGCTATATTCCCAGCCCTTTTAATTTTTATTTTGAGATAGGGGTCTAACTTAGTCATAAAGTTGCCAGGCTGGATTTGAATTTGCAGTCTTTTTGCCTCAGCCTCACAGAGTGTTAGGATGATAGGCATGCTGGGATTGCACACCCGGTAAATATTACATTTTTAAAAGTTAAATTTATATTTCTAGTTAAAATTTGACAAATGACAACGTGTAACCCAACATTATAATACTTACATAATCCTGGGAATATAGACATTGGCCATAAGGACAGTCACAGGGGGAAAAGGGATATAAAGAAATATAAGAGTGGGTTTAAGAAGTAAGGAGATGGTTACAGATAAGCTTTTTGTTTGGTTTGGGGTTTTTGGGAGGCACTGATATAGGAGACAGAGCGTGGCAAAGCTGGCTGGGAAAACGAGCGAGACCTATCAGTTACCAGATCCCAAGACAAAGCCAGGACCCCGTATGTAGAACTTCCAGGGAGCTCCCCAAGATATAAAAGAAGAGGGACACGAGGGACTCTCACCTTAGTGAATTCCCATGGTAGCTGCACCATTTTCTCAGATGCCACATATGCTGTTAGTTTTGCTTTTACCTTCTTTGTCTCTGGTTCATTCTAAGTTTGCCCTGCAGAGTTAGTTTCATCCATATCCATTTACCTCTCAGTTTTCAAATAAACTTTTGGTACTCTTTTGGCTTGTCTCATCCAATTCTTTGTTGGTGCCAGGAAGGACCTGCAACACTTTTGATTGGTGAGCCATTTCTGAAGAAACTCCCTGATGATAGTACATACTGGGGACTGAACTCCTTTGCACTGAGCTACATCCCCTGCCTTTAAAACCATTTTTTAGATTGTTGAAATAGTATTACAACACTGCCATCATTTTATATCATTATAATTTCCTAGAGGAAGTAAAAGATTTTTGTTTGTTTGTTTGAGGCTGAGTTTTACTATGCAGTTTAGGCTGGCCTTGAACTTACTTTAAAGCCTTGGAGGCCTTAAACTTGCAGTAATCCTCCTGCCTCAGCCTCTGCAGTGCTAGGTTTACAGGGGTACACCACCACAACTGGCTAAAAAGTTATTTTCAGTGTAGATTCATTCAGGCTGATTTGACTGAGTTCCCTGGGCTAGGCTGGGCTGCAACTTGTGATCGTCCTGCTACAGTGTCTCAGAGTCCAGGGATCGTGGCATGTGCCACCACATCTAGTGACACAAACAATCTTAAATAGTAATGTATTTTATACAGCAGTTAATTTGAATGAAATTCTCAGTACATGTAAAAAAAGTATTACCACTTCAAGTGAGAGTTTGGAGATGAAGATACAATAGTTGTAGCCTTACAAGAGTTATCAATAAGGGGTAAATAAGGGCTGACCAGGGAGATAGCTCAGCAGCATAAGCACCTGCCTGGTAAGCACAAGGTCCTGGGTTCAATTCCTGGTACAAAAAGGGGGAGGGGGAAATAAACTTGAGAGTAAAGAAGTTGATGATTCTTAATTAACCTAAGGAGAATAGTCCAGAAAATGAAGCAATCTTTCTGCTACAAGCAGTCCTGTGTTGGTGAGTGAACACAGCAAGCCCAAGATACAGCAGGCCTCAATGAGGCCAACAGGGAGAGGAAAAGAATATAAAAGCCTTATTTGGGGTGAAACATGATGGTGCTGTTATAGGAAACAGCATGGGGTCATTCTTGTTTGCTGTGGAGAACCCAGAGAGAAGAGGAAGGGTGTTATATCTACTGTACCAGTTGCTCAAATTCTCTCCTGTACTCCATCAGTGTATTCCCACTGGGACTCTGAACTCCGAGACAGTAGCTTACATTTCCTGCCTGAATGTTTGGGTCCTTAAACTGACTAAACAGTTAAAACCCCAAAAGGTGGCTGGGGCACGGAGTAAGCTTTTGATGGGTAATAGCTAAATTTTCTTTCAAGAAAACTAGAATTGAATAGGAGTTGGTCTGAGCTTGTCTGCAAGAAAACTCCAGTATTTTTCCAGCGACAAAGTTTACTCGGGCAAAACCCCATCACCATGAAACTGTGCAGTACCTCTTTTATGCCCAAGTGAGCACCTAGTGACACTCAGATAAAAATTGAGTAAAAGGGAAACACTATGTTACACACATGATGGTAGTAATGGGCTGTGTATGTAGATGATTTTTTTTTTTGGCCTCTTTGATTCTAATCACATGCTCAAAGAAGTTTTATTTATTATTATTATTATTATTTGTTTTTGGTGGAACTAGGGATTGAACTCAGGCCCTTGTGCTTGCCAGGGAAGTGCTTATTCCACTGAGCCATCTCCCGGCCCCTTCAAAAAAGTTTTAAAGGTGAGAAACTCCACATTTTGTGTTTCTAGGAACCGTGAAGTTATGGAACAAAAGTGGAAACTTAAAGTGGGCAGTGGCAAATGTCTTTAATCCCCCCTACTTGGGATGCTGAGGCAGAAAGATTCAAATTTCAGCCCAGCCAGGGCAGGTAAGCAAGACACTCAAAAAACAGGGTTGGGAGTGTAGATCAGTGGTAGAGCACTTGGCTAGCACGCACAAGGTCGTGGATTCAATCTCCGATACTACAGGTAGTTCACCCCCCCCCATTTCAGATATGCAAGACTAACTAAATCACAAGCACTTGAGGGATTGTTAGGTAACTATTTCAGCGAGCTAAATGGTTGCCTAGCAACGCTGAAAAATGAAAGCAAAGTAAATATTACACTCCAGACTGTTAAATGCATAAAAGGAGCGCTTGGTTAGCATGTGCAGACCCCGCATTGGATCCCCAAGCACCCAAAATAAAAAGGTAATCATGGCAAAAGTATTTATGGCAAAAGTGAAACAAATATAGGAAATAGGTTTAAGATATCTCTTCAAGACAAATCTTACATTTAGGTAGGTAAAAGTACAGTGGAGGTGTAGTTGTTTATTTTTTGTCGTCCTGGAATCAATCCAGCCCTGCTGGGCAAGCACCTAATCGCTGAGCTATGGTATTATAAGTTTAGCCCGGCATCAGTCGTTTGCATCTGCAGCTCGGGCCAAGGGGAGAGTTTTCCAGTCTCCACAATATTTCAGAGGTGGGGCGAAGAAAACAGTCTTAAGTGATCTGGTTAATCAAATGCGCTCCGAGGAAACTCTTCTCAGGCCTGTAAGCGCCTTAACATAACAAATCCCACCAGCGTTCTGCGCTGGCTGTGGCTAGGCAACGGTCCGCGCATTTTTCGTTGCGTTAGCCCCGCCTTTGGAGGCGCTTCCGCCCTCGCGCGCCTCAAAACTCCTCCTTTCATTGGCTACCGTCACGCTGGGGATGGGCGGGGCAAAGGCGACAGGCAGTGCTGTCACTTCCGGCCCGGGAGCGCGCGGGTTGATTCGTCCTTCCTCAGCCGCGGTTGCTCGCAGCTCGGAAATGGCGGGTAAGTTCCCGGGAAAAGTTTACCAAGGGGAGGAGGCGGGCAGATACGGGAAAGGACGCCGAGGTGGCGGTGACAGTGCCCGCCTGGAACTTTCAGCGTCCCGCCTGGGTTCCAGAAGGCCTGCTTTGGCCGGGGAACGTGGAACTCTTGAGTCGAGCTGCTGGTCGCGGCGTCCGCGCCCCCGCCCCCATCGGCTCGGGTCGGCGCTGTCTGTGAGCGACCCGAGCGACCCCTGCGGGGGCCGGGCGTCCGGGCAGAGCGTTCGGCTTTGGGCTTGGAAAGTGCCAGCTACGTTGGGCCTGCTTTTCTTCCTGTTCCTTCGGCGGCTTCGGCTCTTCTACAGCTGGTGCTGTCCCTCCCCGCCTACTGATTTTTAAAGCTAAAATTCTCCTCCAGGTCTCTGCCCACCCTCACCTCAGGCAGAAACTTCGGAGCCAGCGCTTTGCAGCAGCCTCGCCTTATGCTAGGACGGGATCTTGACAGAGTCCGCAACAACCTTCTAGATCTCTCACGCTTTAGGCTTGCTAGGATTGTAGTTAGGTTTCCTGTGAAAAAGACCACGTTCGCGCACCTTTTCCTCTTACAATATTCTTTTGGGTTCTACTTTGCTCCATGATCTTCAGTTTACAACGTTTGATAACCTATAACTGTTATTGCTTTGTATTTGTATTGAGGCTGTTTTAGTGAGTTTGTTTTTTTTAATTTCACATGTAATCTCTTGCAGTGAGGGGCAGTTTCTTTTAATCATCCCAAGTACCTTCGTAGTAGTGTCACTCCACGTTAAACATTTTATTTTTCTAAATATGCTGGATAGACGATAACATAGCATAGCCTCTACAGATGTTAAAGGAAAGACCGTTCAGTCAGAGACTTTGGGCTATGCTGCTACCACGAAAGAGAGGGATCATATGTACCATGTGTACATATTTCTAAGAATTACATCAAATTCAAAATATAGTTCCACCATTAGTAGTTAGGTGCCCTTCGATTTATTTAGTTTTTTGTGGCCTCTTGGTTTTGGGGATCAAACCCAGGGCTTCCACACTGAGCTATATCCCTAGCTCTTTAAAAACATTTTCATTTTGAGGCCAGATCTTGGTAAATCTTCCAGTTTAAGATTAAACTTGCATCCTCCTCCTTTGGTCTACCAGAATGCTTGGGATCACAGGCATGCACTGCCGTATCAAGCTATCCAGCTTTGTAAATAGGTATTTTGTCAACTCAGTTTCATATTTAAAATCTCAGGTGTAGGAAGAGGTGCGGTGGACCCATGCCCAGTGTTCAATGCCCAGTACAAAAGAAAAAAAGAATCAGTAACTAAAATCCACGGAACTGTCAGGATTGTTATGAATTCACACATGTATGAGATTGTGCTGCTTGGGTTATGTAAATTCCTTGAAGTTCGTTGTATAATCTTTGTTTTATGGATTAGGCTCATAGTCTTAGTAAGGTGCTCTATTTCACAGAACAAGTAAGTAATGATGAAACCTGGAAAGCCTGGATTTGAATCCAGGAAGTCTCTTTCCAAATCTTTAATCTATACTGCCATAAACCTTGGCATTTTCTGTATTTTAGCCACTTTTTGAAGTTTTTTTGTTTGTTTGTTTTGTTTCATTTTGTTTGTTTTTTTTCTGGAACTGGGGATTGAACTCAGGCCCTTGCGCTTGCCCAGAAAGCGCTTATTCCACTGAGCCATCTCCCCGGCACTTTTTGAAGTTTTTGACTTGTATTTCTTTTCTATGTTCTCATGAGTTTCTATTTTTGAGATGAGATTTTGCTGTGTTGTGCAGGCTGGTCCAGAACGCATGGGCTGAAGTGACCCCCACCCCCACCCCACCATCATGAGTAGCTGGGCTAGAGGCCTGTAACACTACTCCCAGCTGACTTTTCTCCTGAGTTTTTATGGTCATTTTGCCAGATTTATTGTTATCTACCTGAAAGTTTTATCTTGATAGTAGTTTATTGTGGTGTTACTTGTTATATATATTGATGGATATCCACTATATAATAAAACCATTTAGTTGTCTTAGTAGCCCAATTTATGACTATGCATACATGATTTTTAAAAAATATTTTGTTTTTTTAAATACAATGGAAAGCTTTTTCCTTCTTTCCCTGCCCCTATTCTCTTATCTCAGGGGTAACCTAGTTAATTGTGTATCTTTTTTGAGGTAATCTATAAATTATCAGTTTTTTAATAGCTGTTTTATTTATCTCTGGGTAGAACTTGTTCAGTATTAGAAACAAAATGCTGTTATCAAAGGACATTCTAGGTTTCTTATATCTGATAATAGAAACAATGACATCGTTTAGCACTATTTTTCATTTTAAGAATTATTTTTCACTTTTAATTTTTCTTTTTTGGTACTGGAAATTGAACCCAGGGCCTCATGAATGCTAAGCATGTGTTAATGCTACTTAGGTATAAGTCCTAGTAAGTAATTTGTGTCAGTATTAGAAGTTTAGCAGCTCTGTAGTATATTTTCAGTCTGTTTATGCAAACCATTCCTAGTCTTACAAACTTCAAAGGTGTTTTTGAGTTCATTTATTGAGACATATATGTAAGAGTGACCTGTACTTTTGTGATCTATGGGCACATTTAAATTGTCCCCTTTCTAATAACCCTATTTGTAGCTGGGCATGGTGGCACATACCTGTAATGCTAGCACTCTGGGTGCCTAAAGCAGGAGGATTGCAAGTCAAGCCCAGTCCCAGCAAATCAGTGAATTAGTTAGACCCTGTCTCAAAAACTAAAACAGAGGGCTAGGGATGTATCTGTGTTTGAAGATCTTGGGTGAAATTCTCCACCAAAGCAACAAAAAACTGCCACCACCCCAAAAAGCAAAAGCAGAAAACTATTTGTATGTTCTTGTGTTTAAATCATTTGCAACCAAACATTTTTAAAAACCTTTTTTCTTAGGATTTGGTGCTATGGAGAAATTTTTGGTAGAATACAAGAGTGCAGTAGAGAAGAAACTGGCAGAGTACAAATGTAACACCAACACAGCAATTGAACTAAAATTAGGTATGTATAACATTTTTCAAGTGATAATATGTATATACTGTGTGTATATTTCTTTTAGAATTATAAGAATTGAACATAAAAGTTATTTGCATAAATACAGTTTCCTGCATTCGTTGAAAACATTCAGATTTTATTCAGTCTTATGTGATGGAGTAGATAGATATTTTGAGAAATGGCAAAGTTCAACATGTTGGGAAACTAACAGAAAGTCAAGCATTTGTGATCTTAGCTTTGTAAAAAATATTTATCTTTACTTCTTTTGTATTTGGACAGAAATCTTTTTAATTTTCTACATTTTTAAAAAAAAATTAATGAATATTGCTTATACAGAGGTTTCAGTTTGGAAGATTTGTACATGCACATAACAAACTTTGGTCATTTCCACCCCCATCACCTCCCTTGCCTTACCCTCCCAGCTAGTTTCACATGGGGGGTTCACTACACTGAATGCCTGTAAAATGTCCTCTTTTTTTTTTTAATTTTTTTATTTTTTCAATACTGGGGAGTGAGCACTTTGCAGTGAACTGTATCCCTACCTCCCTGCCCCCACTTTATTTTGTGACAAAATCTTCTTAATTGCCCAGGCTGGATTTTTGTAATCCTCTTGGTGCAGCCCCCCTCAAAGTAATGGGGTTATGGTTATGCACCACATCACCATGTGTACTGTTTTTTATTGTTTCAAATTATGTAGCCCAGTCTAGTTTGAATTTTTTTTTTTTTTTTTTTTTTTGGCAGAACCAGGGATTGAACTCTAGCCCTTGCGCTTGCCAGGGAAGTGCTTATTCCACTGAGCCATCTCCCAAGCCCCCCGGTTTGAATTCTTGGTCACCCTGGCTCAGCATCCTAAGTATTGAGATTACAAGCATATGCCACAATGCTTGGCTTTCACTGTACCAGTTTTTAAGTACATTTAGGTGTATACAATGGATGTACTACTGTCACCATTATTTTTGAAACCCTTTATCACCTCAGACAGAAAGTCTAACAGATAAACAACAGCTTCCCATTTGCAAGCCTTGGGTATTCTTCAGATTTGAATTGGACCTTGCATTTGCTTGTGGTATCTTTTGGCTTCCTCACTTTCAAGACCATGACACTTCTAAAGATTATAGACCAATTGTTTGTATCATGTCTCTTTAGGGTTGTATGATGTTTGCTTATTGTTTATTTCAGGTGACATATCTTTTGGCAGAATATTCCAAAATTGGCATTCTGATTTCATTGTACTATATCAGTCTCTCATCTAACTTCTATTTTTCTATTTCATTTATTTGTTTATTTTTGTCCTTTTAAGACAGTGTCTTGCTATGCAATTCAGGCTGGCTTTGAACTCAGTTTGTAGCCAAGGCTGGTCTCAAACTCAAAACAGTCCTCCTGCTTCAGCCTTCTGAGTGCTGGGATTACAGGCATATGCCACTGTGCCCAGCTTATTTCCTATTTTATTCAATGGATTATCCTGTTAATATTATTTACTTAGTTCTCAAATTGGAGGTGACTGAGTGAATAGAAGCCCATTTTGGGGTGACTTGTGTCTTTTTTATATGTTTCTCATTATTTGATTATTTCATTCTTTGGGTTATCCTGGAACTGGATGTTCTACACTCATTATTATCTCTGCCTAAGCTCTAGAATCACTCATTTTTCCATAGGTCTTTGTGGTTTTTTAAGTGCAAAATGGTATTTTGCAGCTAAATTTTTTTTTTTTTTTTTGTATTTTTAGGGAAGGGACTACAGGGTGTTCAGGGTTTCACTACTAGATCGGACTCACAGTGATCTGCCAGTTTATAGCCTCCCAAGAGCTGGTATTACAGGTGCGTGCCACCACGCCCTATCTCAATTGCCATCTCAGAGCACCCTAGGGGTGGCGCTGGCATGGCAGGCCTGGGATCAAAACACTGGCCTCTGCACCTGCTTGCTGGTGCTTTAATCTGCTGAGCTATTTGGCTGGCCCTGTGCAGCTAAATTCTGAATGCTAGGTATACTCATTGCTATTAATGTTACTTATATTGATGAGAATGAGCCATCTTGGTAGGCAGAATTTTGTTCAATTCCATTCAATCCCATTCAATCCTTACTCCTATTGGTGTTTACTGATGTTCTTCCCCAATACCAGTTTTGCTTATTCTAAGTCTTCTCTCCCTCCCTCTTTCTCTCCCCTTCTTTCTTCTGTTTTCTCCCTCCCCCACATGCCTCCCTCCCTCCTTCTCTTAAGGGGAATTGATCCAAGGGCCTCATGCATGGTACCTGCATGCTTTGTCCCTGAGCTATACCCCCCAGCTCTGTTAAAACTTTATATACTTTATGATAGACTTATTTTAATTCAGCAGAATACTTTTTTAAAAATTATTTTATTGAGAAACAAATAGCAATGAGACAGTCTCAAAACTGATTAATTAGCCCAGTTTCAATAATTAATGCATTGCATATTGTTGTCTTAGTGGTTAATCATTGTACAAGATGCAGATATGATATCCTGTCCACAAACACTATTTGTTTTTGTGGAACCAGGGATTGAACTCAGGCCCTTGCACTTGCCAGGGAAGCGCTTATTCCACTGAGCCAGCTCCCTGGCCCCAACAAACACTATTAGAACAAATCTCTATTCATTGAATTAAGAGAATGCAGCTGTATATCTATCCTAACTATTTTGAATATACAGATACAAAATGATCTTTCATTTGATTCCCCTTTTTTGTTTAGTTTTTGTCAGAGGAGGGTATTCCATTGTCATTTAAATATTGTAGGTGCGTGAATTCAGCAAAATACTGCAATATAGTCCAGTAGTCCATAATAGTAGTGGATTTTCTGTAAGACTGGCAACGTTAGATGTTGACTTGAGCCTTTTACAGCTCAGCATATTAATATGCCTTTACTTTTTATACTTCGTTTTTATACTTTTCTCCTGGATGGTTAAGATCAAGATAAAGCAAGACCTATGTAACAAGAAATGTAACTTTTGTATCTGATCAGTCAAATCCCCTCAGGATTTACCCTGAAACCCCATACTACAGTTTATAGATCCTTTGTCAGTGTCAGCCATGTGGATGAGTCACAGCCATTGCTTGACCAGTTTGCTCTCTGTAGCAGCATGTTTTTTGAGGATATCATATTCTTGGCTATTAGTTTTTTTCTTATTTATTGCTGAATATTACTTCATTATTGGATGCATCATTATTAAGCTAATATGTATTTGGGTTGTTTCTAGTTTCTGCTTGTAACTGCTGAAAATGTTCTTGTAAGTCTTCTGTGGCTATACAATTTTATTTTGGGTAGATTCTTAGGAGTGAATTTGGGGGTCACTGGGTAGTTGTGTGTTGAACTTCATAAGATGCTTGCCAGACTGATTTTAAAGTACTTTTATGCTCCCACCAACAGTGTATTAGAATTGTCATTATTCCATACCATTGCAATGTTTAGTGTTCTCAGTTGTAAAGTCGTAGGCATCCTAGTGATTAGGTAGTGGTATCTTGTGGTTTTAATTTACCTTTCCCTCATGACTGAAGTTATTAAACATTTTTTATGTTACTATTAATCATTTGTATATCTGCTTTTGAGACTATTCAATTCTCTTTCTTTTCTTCTCTCCCTCTTCCCCTTTTCTCCCTTTTTCTACCCGTGTCTTCTCGTCTCTCCCACTCACCCTCTCCTCCTACCCTTTTCTTTTCCCCTCTTTCCCCACTCTTGGTCTTGCTTCTACGCTATTATCTTCTAATTTTATGAGCATTGGAAATCCCTATGTTCTAGTACCAAAGCAAAGCCTTGTAATTCTTCATAGGGGAAAAATCTAGCATCTTGGGGAGTTGGAATAAATGTGTCTGATTCAGGAGATTGAGCACACAGCCAACTATAGGCATCTGTAATTCTGTAATTGCCATGACTTTCCACTATCCTGTCTTTACTCTCTCTTCATTTTCAAATTGGGAGTGTGTTGTTTTTCTTGTGATTTATGCGTTAAACATATATTCTGGATGAATCTTTGTGCATATTTTCCTTAGTCTGTGGCTTGCCTATTTATATTCTAAATATAGTGTCTTGATGAGTAAAAGTTGTTAATTTTGTTAAAATTAAATTTTTGCATATTTTTCTTTTCTAGTATTTTCTGGTTCTTGTCTGAAATATTTGGGGCTGGGGAGATGGCTCAGTGGAATAAGTGCTTCCCTGTCAAGTGCAAAGGCCTAAGTTCAATGCCTGGTTCCACCAAAAAGCAAAACAAAAAAATAAAAATGAAGTATTTGTCTACTCTAAGGTCACAAAAATCTTTTATGTTTTTTTCTAAAAGCTTTGTACTTTCAGCTTTTCAAGTTTAGGTCTATGATACAGCACATATTATTTTTCATGAACGATGTAAGGAAGGGTATCAGTTTGTTTTCCATGTGGATAGACTTTTGTTCAAGTATGCATGTATGACAAAGCTTTGGTGCTTTAATCGTCTGTGTATGGATTTATATGTAGACTAGTATATTATTCATTAGTTTGTTCTATCAATATCATACTGTTTTTCTAGTGTAGCTTTATAATGAATTATGGTCTAATGAGCTCTCCATCTTTTGTTCTTTCTTCAAGACTTGAGAATTCTTTTTGTTTACCCTTTTGTAAAAATTTTAAAGAGAAAAAAATTTCAAAACAATATAATAGGGTTATAATGGTTAATATATTGCATACTTAAATTACTCAAGAGTACAAGATATCATCATTTAACTGTCCATACAGTATTAGCACAAATCTTTCTTTTCAGTGAACTAACAGAAACTAATGGTATAACTGTCTGAATTATTTTGCTTTGCTCTTCTTTGTTCCATCTTCGCATCCCAGTTTCTCTTTCTTTTTGAAGTTTCTTCCCATTTTACAGTATCTATTTTACATTTTGGATCTTCTTGTTTAGCTTCTCACATAAGAGAGGTAATACTGTATTTACACATGTGTTTGTTGCCCCTTTTTTAATTCTTTTTTTTTTCCTTTTTTAATTCTTAATTTCCATATTTTAGGATCAGTCTGTTAGC